TTATATTACAATCATTAATAAAATATTCAGAGCATTTATTTTTATTTTTTTTAAAGTTTATTATTTTTTAAAGTAAAATAAACATTGAAAATTATTATTAAGAATCTTTAAAGCTAGCATAAAATTAGGTGAAATATGATTTTTTTTATGATATAAAATATGTACTTAGATTAAGATGCATCCGTTATTTGTGTCGTCAACCAGCAAATTTTCAGGAATTGAATTAGGAAGAAGTGACACACAACCTTTAAAAGAAGTTTTATATATTGTGCTTACAGAAGGAGGTATATCAATTTTTGATAAAGAAGAACAATCTTCAAAAGCATGAGATTCAACTATTTGAACAGAAGAAGGAATATCAAAATTGGTCAAAGATATACATTTCATAAATGTGTGAGAGCATATTTCTTTAATAACAGATTGCTTTTCAAATATCACTTCTTTCAAAGATGAACAGGATTCAAAAGCAGATGATGCAATTACTTCTACAGATGATGGGATCGTAATTTTTAATAATGAAGAACATTTCTTGAAAGCACAGATGCCAATGTATTTTAAAGAAGAAGGAAATGAAATTTCTTTTAGCGAAGAGCATTTATTGAATGCAGCGTTTTTTATTTTAGTAACTGAAGAAGGAATTATTACTTGAGTTAATGATATACAATTCTCAAAAGAATGGCTGCCAATTTTATGAACAGTGGAAGGAATATTTATTTCTCTTAAAGAAGTGCAGCCATAAAAAGTGTATTTTATGATTACTTGTAATGATGAATGTATTATTACTTCGTTCAATGATGTACAACCTTCAAAACAATGACATTCAATTAATGTAGCCGATGATGGAATTTCAATTTTTTTCAAAGATGAACATTTCTTAAATGAATAACATTCAATTCTTTCAACTGAAGAAGGAATCAATATTTCAGTTAATGATTGACATTCATTAAACATGTATTCATCAATTATTTTTAGAGTAGAAGGAAGAGATACTTGAACTAATGATGAACATCCATCAAATAAATTTTTTCCAAAAGAGACTACTGAACTTGGAATGTCAATTGAAATCAATGAAGAACAATTCTTAAAAGCATTATTTCCGAGAAAAGTTATAAATGATGGAATAGATAATTTTTCCAATCTTTGGCAATTTAAAAAGCAATCATCACCAATTTGTATTTCTTGTTGTGATAATAACAAATTAACAATTTCGATATTATTTTTCTTTGCAGCCAAATGCAAAGCAGTAATATTGCCTTCAATTGGTTCATTTATCAATATTTTTTTGTTTTTTATAAGATAATCAACCAAATCATAATAGTCATACTTGCAGCAATAGTAAAATATGAATTTATTATTGAAATCATCTGGGAAGAATGAAAAATTGTAATAATGAAATAAACTTTTCAAAATTTTTTCATTATCATCTGCTTTAGTTATTTCTTCAATTAAATTGCTTCGAAAATAATTGACAATATGATTATGATGACATTTAATTGATTCAATTATACATTGTTCGTATAGTTTTTCAATATCACTTTTCAATAAAATATCAATTATTTCTTGATCTTCGCCATGAATTGCGAAATTCCATATTGATTTGGTTAATTTAGCTCCATTTAACATCAGATATTTGAAGATTTGAATTGAGCCAAAAAAAGTTGCATATTCAATTAAAGAGATTTTTTTCTTAAGCAACAAAGGATTCGTTTCATAAGTAGAATTTTCAATTATTAAATTAAGTGAATTTTGATTAATATAAGTGATGAATTCCTCTATCTTATCGTTTCTTATCAATTCGCATAAATAATAATCATTTTCTCCAATCTTCCTTTTTTCATCAAAATTTTCTGGAATTTCGAATTGTATATGTTCAATTAATTCTTTGTTAATAAAAGATTTGATTTCTGGGTAAAAATACTGGGGATATTTCATTTTGTAATATTTTTTTTCTAACATGGCATTAACAATTGATTGATTGATTTCAATTATTTTACTTTCTATTAGAAATAAAAGAATTCTTTTGTTTTTTATAAAAATTTGGAAAATATCAAAATATGTAAAAAAATGATCAATATCTTTTTTGAAGTTCAAAATAATCTTTTCAATTTTGCTAAAAAAGTTTTCATTTCTATAATGATTATTTGAAATTTTAGAAATTAAGTAAAGAAATGACTTTAATTCATTCTTATTACCACCAATTTTAAAATTTGAGTATAATTTTAATATGTTTTGATAATTTTCTTCTTCAGCATCTTCATTATCAATGAATTCGAGAATTAAATTTTGTATGTTTTTCATTTTTTCGATTGAACTTTGGATGTTCATGATTTTATAAGAAGTGATATGATAAAAAATTGAAAAGGATTTTTTCAAAAAGGATAAAAATGAAAGGGATTAAAATTCTCAATTTAATTTGTAATTAATACCAATTTTAAACAAAACCTAATTCCAAGAATTCTAAAACTTGTCAATCTCTATGGAAATTTTATTTTATTTTATTTTATTTTTTTTTTTTTTTTTCATTTTATCATCAAAATAATGCAAAAGAATCAATTGATGTCATTTTTTCAAGAATTTCATTTGTTGTCATATTTTCTTTTGTTTGCATTTTTTATATTAATGGTGTCCAAAATTGGATATTTTAACCGTTTTTTGGATTTTTTTTTTTTTTAATTTTGGATAACTGTTTTATTTTGAATTACTATTTGTCCATATATAATTATTAACCCCCAAATTAATTCTTTATTTTTGCAAATTTTTATGCATTTGCTGTTAACCAAATTAGTTATGCATTGGGCTTATTAATTTTCTTTGATGCAACATTAAGAACTTTTTGAGAATAATAATCCTTCTATTAAACTTTTGATTTATTATAAGAAAAAATGAAAAATCCAAGCTGGACTTTTTCTTCATCCAGGATAACGGTATTCCTACGATAAAATCCAAAACGGACACTATTATTTGAAAGTTTTATAATTGAAAAATTTTCTAACAAAATTGAATATAGTTTTGAAAATTGGAAAAAAAATCAAAAGAAAATTTTCAAAATTGAAAACAAAATTTTTTTCACTTTTCAAATTTTATTAAATTGAATGGCAATTTTATATGCAATATTTGAAGACTTATCTCATTTCACATAAAAAAAATGCTTTCTTATCAAATATCTTCTTTGAAACGTCTTTTATCACATGATAAAAGTCATGAATTTAAAATAATCTTCCAAATAAAATATTCAAAAGAAACAAATGATGATGTTGTAATTCAAAAAGAAAAAAGAATCATTTTTACAACAACAATAAATCAAGCACGTGTTCTTTCAAAAGTTATTGATGACAAATACAGAAATGATCCAACAATCAAAGAACACGTTTTCATCATCAATGAAATGAACCAAGTCAAATCAGCAGATATCATTGATGTCATTTCAAGAATGGTCAATGGAGAAGAAAACCAAATGATCAGTGATGACCAAATGTATCTGTACAACAGAATGATTGCAATTTTTGATGATGAAAACGATTCACCTGATTGCCACTCTATTATCATTGAATGCGAATATGTGGATAATAATAAATTATGCGGCATAATAACATACATCCGTGAGAAAGCAAATGGAAGTGTGGATGAAATAAAACTCATGGGTGGAACTCAACATTATCCAAATTATCCAATTGACAATTTATTATTATTCGATGAAGCAAATGCTTCCCAAGGTTATTTGTGCATTGGAGTATCAAGACAACATGCCTGGATTGAATGGGACTTCGGTAACAGAAAAATAAGCATGACATCATACTCAATTCAAGCATTGTACAAAATGAAAGATCGATTTCAGCCTAAAACATGGAAATTCATGGGATCAAATGATCACGAAAAGTGGGAACTAATCGACTACAAAGAAAACGTCGATGAAATGAATGGAGGCGACTTTTCGGGTCATTTTGAATGCATGAAAAAAGGCGAATTCTACAGATATATCAAATACATACAAATCGATGGCTGTTTATCTTGGTTGGCATACAAACACAATAGATATATCATCGCAATCTCATCAATCGAATTCTTTGGATCAATTTCATTAGACAATGCGTGAATAAGTAAATACATATGAAAACATTTTTTATTGATTTTTTTAAATGCTTTTCATTTAAAAATGTTATTTGAATGCTTGAATCAATGTATTTTTAAATAAACAAAAAATAAATTGATAAAATAAATTAACGATTTAACAATTTATCACAATCTAAAACAAAAGAATCTTTTTAAACCGTTTTTTATTTATCATCATTATTGGTATCATCACTCGAACTTTTTACTTCAGTTTTCACTTTTTCTTCATATATCAAATATCATTTGTATAATTTACAAATATAGTTTACTGAAGATATTCTGGTTAATAAAAAAGTATTTACATATCGTATTATTTCAAAGCAAATTGATGAAAACAATTGGTGATTTTCACTTCAACTTTAATGAAAAAAAAGATAATAATTAAAATATAGAACTAAGATTTTGGATCTATCCAAAATTAATAGAAGATGCATCTTTTTTAGAATAAATAATTGGTATATGTTTTAGTAATATTTAATTAGTTATGAACTTGTATTCAGCAATCAGAAACATTATATTCATAAAGAGTCAGCTGCAACTACAATCAAAATTGATGAATTGAAAAAATAGATTAAAGAAGAGTTACTGCAGAAAGAATTAAAGCAAAAAAAGCACCTACTTGAACAACAAAAGAAAAATCAGTCATCTCTCCTCATTGGAATGGCAAAACTCACAAAATAGTCTGTTAACCCAAGTTTAATCATTAATCCTACTTTTCAAGAAGCCAAAGGCCGAATTGGTTCATCTGTGACTTCCACCACTTGGCAAACCTAAGATCTTAATTGTTTGAGATTTTTTTCATATCATTTTTTTTGAGAGAATTCAATTCATTTGTATCAAATCAAAAGTGAAATGTAATAAACATCTGAAGTATCAAATAATATACATAAGAGAGATTAGTCTAGTGGTAAGGCAATCGCTTCGGTAGCGAGATTCCCCGGGTTCGATTCCTGGATCTCTCATTTTTTCACTTTTTTTTTTTTTTTGTAAATTAAAGAACACACCAAGGATTTAATTAATAAAAAAATTATTTTGATATATCTAAAAACATGTTTACTAATAAAACAAAGCATCAAGTTAGCAAGAAAGCACCCTGACCTTCAGTTATTGCCATCAGTATTTTCTCTTTCATTGTTACTTTTGAAGAGTAGGGAGGCAGTTTGAAGTAGTTAGTGCATGTCATCACTGAAGGCAGCGAGTCGTCAGGGTTCTGGACGCTGTTGTCAATTCTCTTAGCAACAGCCAGCTTTGGCTGGAGAGATGCCAGTCCTCCGATAGGCAGTCTTTCACTCCCTGTGATAAACTTCACAAAAAGTGATTTTTGGTCGTTATCGAACTCGGTCAAGACTTCAAAGAGCATTGAAATTTGAGGGGAGTCCTCCTGGTAGCCGTGGGAGATCTCGACGTAACTCTTCAGGTCCTTCATTGTAATAGACACGTCCTCGCCGGCGATGAGCTTCCTCCACTCTCGCGCCTCGAAGATGTCCCACACTCCTCTCTGAAAGACGCATGAAAAACCGTCACAAAACCGTTCCCTGATGAAGTCCAATTTAGAGCCACAAACGAAGTCCTCGACAAGAGCTACATACTCCTCAACATTTTCGGAATTGACCTCAATTTGACCTCCGTTCTCAATTAATTCAATCAAACCGTCGGAATTTTGAATGGCGAAAGGAAGCCCGTACAAGCCTTCCCTGCACTCGAGAGAGCGAGCAATCAATGGGTCGACCTCTTTGAGTGTCACTTTTTCGCCCTTGATGAGCTTGAAGAACTCGACACTCAGCGGAATCGGAAGGACGGTGTTCATGTTGACCGCCTTCGCGCAGAGGACGCCGAAAATAAAGAACAGCTGAGGATCGGAGTCAGAACGAGGAAAGAGGCCGATTTGGGTCCACGCGAAGTCGTTCTCGCCTTGGTTGTCGGAGCGCCACATGTTGTACTTTTTCTTCGTCAGCTCCTCGGCGAACAAAGAGACGAACTCCTTTGTCGGTCCGATTCCGAAGCCAGCTTCTTTGTCGAACGATATGTCGAGCTGGAGGGGGCCCGATGCGATCTTGTTCATCAAAGTGTAACCGTCCTCAAAAAGTGAATTTCTGTGGATTTTGCAGTGATTGAAAATCCTGCCGCTCCTGAGCTTCTCCGGCGCGTTGAAGATGACCTTCTGCGCGTAGCTGAGGGACGAGAAGAAGTCGGAGCTGATCATTCTGAAGACGAACGTGCGGAACTCAAAGGAGAAGAGGAAAGGGAAATGAAATGCGATCTGGACAGCGGGCGAGAAGAGTCCGACGTCGAGGAAGAAGCTCATCAAATGCGGGTGAAGTGTTCTCTCAAATTCAGGGCAGCAAAGATCGGTTGACGGTTTGACAGTATGAATTCTACGAAGAATTTGGAAGACGAGCTTGTTTGGAATCTTGTCGGTCGGAACTTCAATACGGGACATTGAATCGGTTTCATTCAATTCTTGATCGTCTTCTTCAGAAATCATCTCAATTTCGGGCACAACGAGCGGCCAGTACTCCGGGTTTGGCAGGTTTCGCGCAACCGACTGGAACATGAAATCAAAGGCCGAATACTTCTTCCCATCAATTCTGAAGGAAAACCGTTTGTATCGTTTCGTGCCAAAAGCACGATGGAGCAGACCGATGTGCGTGTAGCCAACAGTGTTCATGTTCTCAAGGGAGACAAGCTGCCCGAGCCGGCCGCTGTGCCGGGATGCGTTGAGGAGGTCGTTCGTGGTGATGTGATAAACGGTCTCGTTGTACCAGGCCTCAATTGCGATCAAAAGTGAAGTGTTGTCAAATTTTCTGTGGTTGAACGTCTTGCTTCCATATTTCACATCAACAATCATCGTGCCCGTCGCAAGCTCGCCAGTGCTCATCGATTCGAAGGGATCAATGAGGTCTGGTATCGTCATGTAGGTGATGATCTGATGCAGATTTTCGACAATATGAGCGAAGTCGTAGCGGTCATAGTTTTCTTCTTTCTGCATCAGCTCGAGGAACTTGTTTGTGTAGCCCGATACGTGCAACTCAAAGGACGATAGGTTGGTTGTATTGAAAAATTGAAATATGTCACTGAATGATTTAAATGAGCTGATACTCGGTCGATCAGTCGAGGGACTGCTCTCAAATGACTTTAGAACGATCAACTTTTGCTTATACCATGGCGAAATAAGTGGATCTTCAATGATGATCAAGGAGAGCTGGCTGATAAGACCACTGCTGCTGAGAAGTTGCTTGTCGGGAAGGTTTAATGAAAGAAGAAGGGCAAATGGGGCGTTCTTCGGGTCTTGCGAGGTGGCAATCATGAGTGGAAGAAGGAATGAGGGGATTTCACCTGGAGAAAGTTGATAGGTCATAGCTAAACAAACAAATATTAGGTCAAAATCACCAATTTTTTCAGAGGCTAATTCAAGAAGAACTTTTTGTATATTCGCAGCAAATTTTTCAGAATTGTTGGGAACTGCTCTATCATTCTCCCAGAAACCAATTGGAAAGTCTGGTACAGGTAAGAATGAACGGATTATTAGCAATATTATTCGGCGTATTTTGATGTAAAAGCCATTATAATCATTTTCAAACAATATTTTGTCGAAATCAAGTTGATGATCAATTATAGATTCTGAAAACTTTTGGAAGTATGTTAAACGTTGGATTAATTCGAGAACTCGTATTAATATTTCAGGATCTTTAATTTCTGGAGTAACTTGTGAAATTGTTTGGGATGTTTCAAGTGGAATTTCCGAAAAACTTATTGAGTTTAATATATTTGTGAATGCATCAATCATATTATTGGCAACTATTAAATCGTCTGATGAAAAATAACTACAGATTTGAGGCAAATATTTGGAAAAATTCTGGCAGATGCCTGATGAAGTTATTTTTGAAAGCGCAATTGATGCATGATGTTTTTCAGGTGTACTTATTAAATCGATATTGTCAAGAATGAATTTAACGATAATAGTATGACTGATTTCTTTAGATCGATATTTTGATAATATAGAGATGGAATGAATAACATTTTCGATTAAGGAAAGATCCGAGAGTAATTTATATTGAATCTTTTCTTTAAGTATTTGAATATAATTTGAATTAGTAATGATTTTATGGCTTTCAAAAATTGCGTCCAAAATATTGATAATGCATTGCGTTGTTAACGTTAAAACTGTAATATCACTTGAATTTTGAAAAATTTTAACAATTTCTCGGCATGTTTCTTTCATAGGGAAGTTTTTTAATTGTGATGGTTCGGCAAAAGCGAGGGTTTCTGCAAGATTTTCTAAACCTTGCGTTTTTGAAGTCATGTTTTTGGATTTAATATCGTTGAGAATGCGCTTATATGAGGCTGGTGAAAAACGTTTTGCTAGGCCATCGCCAAAATTCATAAATTATTTAGATTAAACGAAACACCAAGCTGAAAATAAAAAAAAGAGTAAAGAGCAGAATTTGCATTCAAATTTTCAAAGGTGGTTTAAAATCTTTTTCAGAGCTTAATTGGACATATAAATAACTTTTTAAATGATTATTGACCATTAACTCTCAATTTATTATCAAACAACTTTGACTCTATTTAAATAATTATCAACTTTTTAACGTTGATAATTTTTGAATAATCTCTTTTTTCTTTGTCAAAATTAAGAATTCTTTTTATATTAATATCTTATATCACAAACTCAAAAAATTTTAAACTGATATATAAAAGGTAAAATATTTAACTATAACGATTATTCTTAGTTTTATTTATGATGTAATATTTCTTCATAATAACTATACATTTTTCATAACAATTATACAAAATTGATTTATCTTCTTGAATACAATAAAATTGAACCAGGTAAACAGAATTACATTCTTTATTATATACAATTTTGTTGAAAAAAAGGAAAATCAACTTTTTAATATAAAACGATTAAAATGAATTCAAATTATCATATTATATTTAAATTTTCAAAGTGTTGCAAAAGAGGAAAATTCACTTTTTGAATATATTTTATTTTATCAGCAACATTATTTTGTGAAGAGGCCTCCTAGGATTATCCTTTTCTAAGACTAAATGAAAATCAATCATTGATCATATAGATTATTTACCAGAAAATTACAGATTTAAATTGTGAATTTTTCGAAAGGAATAAATTTCTTAAAGCTCACTTTACAATGTTAATCATATTCAACGGAGCTCCAAAAATAAAAAAATTTTTTTTTAATATATCTGTTTAAAAAATTATTTATTAAGTGATTGCAATAAAGGGCATCCACTGAATGCATCTGATCCAATTGTTACCACAGAAGGTGGGATTGCTATTCCTGCCAACTTCTTGCATCCATTGAAAGCATTGCTTCCAATTGAAGTGAGGGATGATGGCAGTTCAATCACTGACAGTGATATGCATCCATTGAATGCGTTGTCTCCAATTGAAGTCACTGAAGATGGAATTTCTATTTTCGTCATTTTTTTGCATCCATGAAAAACTTCGTCTTCAATCACTGTCACATTTCCGAGAATCTTTATTTCAAGCAAAGATGAGCAGTAACCAAAAGATCCGGCTCCAATTGAAGTAACTGATTCTGGAACAGTTATTTTTGTTATTTTCCTGCATCCATGGAATACATTTTTTTGAATTGTTGTCACTGAAGGTGGAATTGTCATCTCATTCAATGATCTGCATTCATTAAATGCATTTTCGCCAATGAAATTTACTGATGATGGAATTGTTACTTCTTTAAGTAAAGAACAATGATCAAAAGTGCCAGGATTAATTTCAGTTAGAGAAGACAAAATTGTTATTTTGGCCAGTTTTCTGCATTCTTGAAAAGCATTGCTTCCAATTGAATTCACGGATTGTGGAATGATTATTTCTTTCAGTAAAGAACAACCACAAAAGCAGCTGCATCCAATCGATAAAACTGAAGGCGGCAGTGTTACATTTGACAGATATGTGCATCCTTTGAATGCATTATCTCCA